CCCTTTTGGTTGTAGCTTCTATGACTTTTTTATTCATATTCTAAGATATTATAAGGAAGCTAAAGAGATTTGAAAAAAATTGGTAAATCCTAAAAAACTTTACACATTTTCTCTCTCTTGGTTTGTAGAACTGGATAATTTAAAATGTAAAGAATGAAGCAGGAAGCTTGAACGCAAGAAGAATACCTTAGTAGAAACTTTTTGCCCAAGCTTTATAGAACATTTAAAAAGCTAGATGCAAGAAACTCTATGTCGAAGATGAGATCTAGGATAACGCTATTGCTTTCTCCAACACTCAATAGATTAATAATGACTTCAAGCTTCTATAAAAAATCAATCACTTGAACAAAAGAGAAGCTAGATATGATGTTAAATGGAGCCCACCTGAACCTGGATGAGTAAGACTAGACATTTATAGCTTTATCAACACCTATGGTGTTGCCATCAATGGAGGCATCATCAGAGATGATAAGAAAAATTGGATTAAAAAAATTTTCAAATTTATTGGCTATTATCCTAGCACAGTTGCAGAACTTATAGGAATTTTTGAATGTAAAATCTAGCTTACTTAAACATAATTAACTCCTAAATCCATGGTAATCAAGGGTATAATCCAATGAAGATTACTAAGCTTTCACAATTTAAAATACCTCGTGAACTTTCAACATTTTACAAATCAGAATTTAAAACATATGCAGAAATATAAAAATCTAAAAAGACTCAAAACATTTGCAAAATAAATCAAAAAACCTCAATTTTCTCAAAACAGTGCAATATGCCATAGCTTATCATTCTCTATGCCATGTACCGCGATGCATTACACAAATTTGATAGCAATTTCGCTATCAGATGACAATACCCAGGACAAACTTCTAACACATCTCATTTCTCCATCCAACATCTAATTAAGGTAATCTATATGTCTACATAAAGCTTTCTTCTAACTCTAACTCATGGCATAAATTTCACAATTAAATTATTTTTTTTATCAAAAGTTAGACACCCTTTACAAAATGCACTCCCTTTTCATAATAATTCACAACTAGGCCCAAACTTTAACACATGTGCCAAAAGTCTACACTAACCTTTATATCATACTTAATAGATCATTTTGGATTTTTGCAACACACCATATCCATTCTAATACACATATATCATAAATTCAATACTTAACACTTAATTCACAAAAACGTGAGGGGGAGTCATCTTTTACATAATTCATTAAATATTCATCCAATGACAACAAAATACACCTTGCCTACTTGCATTAGTATTTCAGCCATATTTAAACTTTATAATCACACATCAACAGCTTAGAGCATAAAATACACACAATACTTTCAATTATAATGTAAGTGGTTTAAAATTAATGGAATGAAATCCTCATTGGCAAATAAACTATTAAAATACACATAGAAGTAAATTTAGAGGCTTGTAGATATAAATTTACATTCGGTCCTAGGCCTTTGGTCATTTTGCTAATCTTAAACCGATGAGCTAGGCTCTAAAATATTAAAGAATATGGGGGTAAATATAACCACTCAGTAATCAAGGTCAACCTGGCTCATATAGTTGCATATCAATTACTTATAGATGCAAATGACAATAAGCAATCATTCTATGCACATGTATCAAATATAGTATTGGTTATAAAAATAATAACCATATGACCGGGTATATAACATATATCATCAAATATATTCCAATTATATACATTTTGGGATCATAAAAATAACAACCATATGCTCTTAAAAGAAACGTTAAACCATAGTAATAATAGCCATATGGATGGAATTATAAATGCTTGATCAATGCCAACCTCATACTTCCTGATACTTCCGACATAAAGTCGATATCTATTGAGTTGTTACATCCACAACTCAAACTAACCTAACCTTTTACTTGTAAGAAGCTACCAGGTCAGGGTTAACTCACTTATTTGTGTTCTTTGGTTTTTCCTAATGTTAACAATCATAAGGTATTGTACCCCTAAACTAATCTCCTCATGAATCAATAAAAACTAGTTAGGTTCTAGTCCTTTGGAGAACAAGTGGGACAGTTCTGAATCAATAATAAAACCATGGCTACCTCTTAATTCTAACGGTTGGTGCCAAGGTAATTTTTCAATTCCAACAATAAGCCGCCATTACCACGTGGATTTACCAATATACTCATCTCCCTAAGTGAAACTCCTGCCAATAATCATGCTATACACATATTAACACTTAGTATGTCATTTTTAATATGATTTATCACATCATATCAATTCACACCATTTTCTTTCTCCACACTAATCCACATATGAAAAATCACATATTCATCACACTCCGCATGTCAAATACCACATATTTATCATTTTCACAATGACATGCTTTTAATTATTGTTATTAAGAGCGCACACATAAATACATGCACATAGCTCTCCATAATCCAAGATAATTCTACACATAATTTATCACATTGCTAAAAATTTGTATCAATAGTTTCCAAACATCAAACAAGTTTTAAGTCATTACATTCAACAAATAATTAATTAATTAATAACTATACAAACTAAATTTATTCTCAGTTATCTTAAACTTTTGAGAGGTTAAAAGTTTATCTCACAACACACAACTTTCCAAGATTTTCAATTTGCTAAAATGGTACCAAAATTGGATAATCTACAATCAAGCACAAAGACATTCATTAATATCCCTTTTTTAGCAATTTCCCAACATTCTAACTTGACATTCTTTCTTATCAAAATTATAAACTCACTCTCAATCATACTCATTATTTTTTTTTCTAGGTTTCAATAACCTACATTGTTATTATTAAGATAACAGCCCACCATTAATCGCCATTTAACTCATCTAATCACCTTCTTTAATGATAAATTTGAATATAAATGGCCCCCAACCACCAACAACTTACAAAACCGTTAATGTATAGTTTAAATACTCTAAATCACTTTTATTATTCTCATTTTAGCCAATGGGTTTGGATTTATAACTAATATGGATTGAAAATTATTATTTCAATTCAAACTCTAACTTTAATCCTTATAAAAATGGAAGAAAAAGGAAGGAGGAAGCACTTTAATTTTACCTTAAGTATAGGATGGCTTATAATTGTTCCAAAACCTTCATTGAAGCTAGCCCTGGTAGAGGTTTTTGCTCTCTCTCTCTCTCTCTCTCTTCGTTTTTTTAATTCTTCCTCTTCTAATTTTCAAATCTAAACACATATTTTTACCATAGATTTTTTACCATGCACATAACGGATGCATCACGCGTTACAGTGCATGGCATAAATAACTCAATCCTTTATTGCTTGCCTTCTGTGCATTGCAGTAGACGTCCTTCACACCATGGCATATGGCATGAAAGAACTTTCTTTAGTGCTTTCTCACATTTTGATGTCCAAATGGCCTGACTTTACTTTGAACTCACATTTAAGACTGAAATCACAATCAAACCCACTTTTTAAACTTCTTTGGTGACATACCACATCAATAAACTCAATTACCCAAGTTTAGTTTAGTTAATCAGGTTTAAATTTCTAGAATGTTATATCGAAGGACTTAACCTTTGTTAGAAAGAGAATTATTTAAAATTAATGTCTACTCTGACTCAATAAAGGCACAGTCTCTTATTAGCCATAACTGCTTTGGAAGTCATATCCTTTCTAACATTATCAAGAAAATCATATATCTTAGTACAAGAAATTGAGTGGTCATCTTTGATCACATTCATAGAAAAGAAAATAGATGGGCAGGTTTCTTGGCCTACTAGACAATACGAAACAACTTTGATATTATAACTTTTGATATACCTTTACAAGACTGTAATAGCCTCTTAACATTAGACATGACTAGATTTTAATCTTTTTGTATAATTTCCCGTGGCCATGTAATAAAAAAACATGAAGTGGTTTCATTGGCTGGCTAGTGGATTAGATTAAACATTCTATTAACCTATTGCTTGATTGTTAGTTTATCTCAAGTATGGTGTGGGTTTTTCTCTTCTACTTTTTTTTTTCATTATCTCTTCACTTCAAATCTGAACCTTTTAAATTAATTATATACTTTTAAAAATTATCAAGCTTATAATGAAATTCTAGATTCATAGTAATTTCTCATCTACTCTCCTTTTCACAAGAAGAATGCCAATTCCCTCAAATGCTTACATGCAAGTTGCTAATACATCCAAGACATGCGTGCACTGAATTTTTCAAGCCCACCTTTTGACAATATTTCATATAGATCAATCGGGTTCATGACAAGTCATTCAAATCTGTTGCCTTTTACTATTTAGCCCCGGTGGGTGAAAATTACTGAATGAATAAAAATAAAACATATCAAGCCCGAAAAATAAAACATGTGAAAACATATTAAAAGAATAAAAAAATACTACACAAAACTAAAAAATTATATACCATTTATTACTCATGGAGAATAATTTTGAGAAATATTGTAAGGTATCACATTTTTTTCTATTGCTTATTGTCATATATTGAGAGGAATTTAAATGCTGTTAAGATTATTTAATAACATTTCTATCAAATCATGATCATTATGGGATTTTAATTTCTCTAAATTTTCAGAGTAGACTATATTACTTTCCTTTTATATTTTAATCACTGCCATCGCATAAACTTTTGCATGTTTAAACATATATTTTTGTGTGTTTCAAATTATATATTACATTTTCTATCAAAAAAAAAAATTAAACACTACGCAACACTCTGATTCAATATGTTTATTTAAAAAAAAATTGTCTTATTTATGGTAATTGGGATGCATGATTTGGCCAAGTGCAAGCACTGCCTTCTGATATAAGAAAACGTCAGTTTATTATTATTTACTAGCTAACTTTTAACTTGAATGTAGATGGTAAAGAAGATTAAAAAAAATATATTAACTGTGTTGGTGCTGAAATATAAACAGGGAGAGAAGACCCAAACAAACAAAAAGAAAGAGAGTAAATAATAAAGCTCATTAAATAAAGCGAATCAACAAATTCAATGAAGCAACATGCAACTAATAGCAAAGTGAAACCAAAATGAACAAGATGTTTCGCAGGACTGCAAAGATATAGTTATAACAGAAAGAAAAATGGACTCCTAACTGGCTAACATGACTCGTATTTCTTTATCTGTCATACTAAATTTCATGTAGCTGTTGCACCTGATGATGCTAACGATAAAGATACATGGGACGAGTCAATGTGTGAGTAGAGATTTCAGATTCAATTTCTCTTGATGTAGCAAAAAAATTCACGCGAATGCGTCAACGAAAGAAATTGTTCTATGAAGTGGCGTTTTAGGGTTTGATGTAGTTAGATAGGAAAAGGGCTAAAGAGGGAGGCGATGGTGGTGGAGGGGAGAAGAATAAGGAGAATAGGAGGATGAGGCCACGAAGGAAGGCTGATCAAGATGGTAGGCCTGGGCCCTTGGGTTATCGGGCTTCTCGAAATTGAAGAGGTGATACCACCGTAATGACTATTATACCCTTTGTCTCCAGTTCTTTTTGGGCCTTTCTCGGCCCACTTCAGCTCTACCTGCTTCAGCGTGCTCGGGTACCTCCATCCCCAGCACCATACCTTCCCTGCTTTCTCTATGTACCTTTACTCCCAAACCCACACATATCTAAATTAGTATTATACAACTACTCTGGTTTGCTATGATACATTTATGAAATAAAAAAATAACGAATACTTTATGCATCTAACCTGGAAGTTGGAAACAATAAGAATAACAGACAAAAATTTGGTCTCAAGCAAAAGTCTAAATGCCGTCTCTGTGTACATAGTTAACATCTATTTAAGCTGGAACCATTCAAGCTGAGCTGATCATGCTAGATTATTTTTTAACCCTACTCAAGATTATCTACCCACCTAATAACGTGTTGTCATACATACCAAAGATTAAATAACTTCATAGGCTTCGCAGGAAGTATTCAACCAACATATCGATCTCTTTTGCGTACAATGGAAAAAGTGAAATCAACAGTGCTATTCCAAACACCCAATAACATCCACTAAAAATGCCTGCTTTTATTACACCCCCGAGCAGGGGACAAAAGAGTGAACTGATAATTTATCGTTCTATTTTGATGTTTGGTCCTTTCGAGGCAAAATACACTTGATTATCAGGCAACCTTGCTTAATTCATGAGAATAAAACCACCAGAAATTATTCCTCCTAATGAAGGCATAACTTCTGAACATGGACCAAGGGTTCTCTCAATTTAATACATTCATAGTCTCACACGCACACTGGTATTCTGTTTTGATGCGTAAAAATAAGGGTTAAAAGGGCAAAAAGACTATGTAACTTTTTTTTTTAGTAATGCCTAGTATTTTAAACTTTTTTTTTTGGAGCATTTATAGTTTGAAAGTTTTAAAAACAAAACATTTTCATCCCACCATTAAAAATTACAAAGGTTGACTAAGGATATTTTTGCATTTTTTCCTCCTTCCTTTCGTGTTTAGTCTCTGATTTTTTTGTTCTTTAGTGAATTCTTTAATTTTTCTTCTTTTAATGAATGATAATGAAGAGTAAAAAACATATAAACAAACGAGGGCAAAATATAAAATATCTTGATCAAATTTTAATTAACAGTCAATGTTTACGATTTTAAATGGTGGGATACAAATGTTTTGTTTTGAAAACTTTCAAAGTAAAAATGTTCCAAAAACAAACCAAGCATGTTTAAAGAAAAAAATTCTAGAATATTTTTGTCATTTAACTTTAAAACAAACCAAGTTAGCTAAATTTCCGAGTGCCACAGCGAATATGGTTAATTAGTGTCCATGGAAGAATGCAACAAATAAGAAATTAAGCTGGTTACCTTTGGCTGAATCTCAACCCAAGACACTCAATACACTTTCTTCCTTCTATCATATCGCCCATGCCCATCTCCAAACATTGCCTGCAATAAAGCCTTCCACAAACCTGCACTCGTACCCCACTCATCAATCTATATATCCACACACACACACACACACACACACACACAACTACTAACACGCACTCAACACACACGCACGCGCAACTAGTGACAAGCATCCAACAAAATGTCTCGTATTCTGACATGTAAGTCTGTGTTACATAACAAGGCTGTTACATAACAAGGAACATACCAGGCATCTCGTTCGGAAGACATAGACGTAGGTACTGCAAATGGTACAGATCTTGGTGTGGGGAATCCCCGGTCGACGGCGACGGCCACCACCTCTTCCCGACGCCGTGCTCAGGTCATCGTACCCCGTGTTATATCCTGAGTGAGCATCCCCACTTGCCCTGACACGAGGGCTTCGTCCTCCACCACTGGCACGCCCAAGATTACCATAAGGATCCCATGGCGCGTCCACGTGGGCGTCATCGTGGCTGCGATGGACGTGGCGGTTGTTCGACGGTTCGTGTAAGCCAGTGCTGAATTCAAGACTGGGTATTTTGATTAGATGGCGAGGAGAACCGTGAACTTGTTCGGAAACGGGCTCAGGCAAAATGGGTGGCCCCATTTTCTTTTCTGAAGCATTATTGAACTTGGCTAAGTCCTGAAAGGTGAGGTTGACGGACTCGTCTGGGATTCCTTGGTACAGTTCTTCAAGTTCCATTCTTGGCTTCACTAGATTCGTCTTCTTCGCCATGGGATCCCCCATCGGAGACTTCTGTTGCCAGGAAATATTCAATCGAGGTTGAGCTCTGGATTGCTGTGATTAAGTTGTATTCAAGAAGATGCGGAAGGTAAGATAAAGCACAACGCCTCGGCTTCTTCGATGCCATTCGATGAAAAGACGATCATATAAGGCCAAATCTTTGAGGTCGGCCGGCCAAACAAAACAACAAACAAAACACAGAAACGCACGTATTTTAAAATCTCGTTAATTAATGGCGTAAATAATTACGTCGATTTATTATATAATAATGGGTTAGGCATTTGGCGAGTTAAAAATCTGTATGCAGCTCGGGAGACATCAATTAAGTGACGATCAGCAAATTGAGTTGATGAAGTAACGAGCATTTCATAATTGCATGATGATACGTATTCTGTTGTGTGTTTTCATCCGTCGCCGCGTGCTCGAGCTAGAAGAATTAGGCAATCATTAAAAAGGAATTATATATACGAAAAGCGGCAATTCAGAGGAATTAATGGAATGAATGACCTTAATTACACCAACCTTGAGCGCAAAATCGTGAACGCGGTTTGGACTCGGGACCGGTCCGGCCGATACGAAAATGACAATGCTTGCCGATTAATCGTCTACACCATCCCTTGCTCAGTCACTTTCGCATGTTAATTATTCTTGGCTTTTATATTGCATCTGGTCGTGGGCACAGGGGCGGGAGGAGGAATAAAGCTTAATAAAGTGATAAATTATAAAACAAGCAGGTTAATGACGTAAATAAAAACTGTCATACATATATTTTATTGTTTTTTATAAAAAAAACCTACAAAATTCAAAAGTATTTATCGTGTTCTCTTGAATTGCTTTCATAAAATTAAAGTTTATTTTGACGAAACAAACTTAATTAAATCCTTCACGTGGTAATGATTAATTATAAGGATATTTAAATTTAAATTTTAAATATAATTATTATATTTAATTAACTTCCTTAAATTTTGTGAGTTGGTAAAAAAATTTTATATTTAAATACGGAGAAATTATATTATATTTTTATTGTATATAAGTGAGGTGAATAAAAGATTAGAGAATGTTGGAAGGGGGTAATCAAGTAAAATAATATAAATAAACGTAGCCATCCTGTGAAATTAAAACCCCATTGACGAAGTGTTAAACCGAAAAAATTAATAATCTTCGTGTAAATTTAATTTGTTAAAACTTATCTAACTATTAACTGTATAAAAACATCAATGTCGAAATACAGTAGTATAGAATATAAGATTTATAGCATTTCATGTTATTAATATCTATAGTCTATAGATAAGTGTCACTCATCTTAGGCTTTGTACGATTTTATTATTCGTTTAATATATTTATAGCAGAATTTAAATGCAGGAAGCATAAATTTATTTATTTTACAAACTTCTAAATTATTATATACTTACACACTCTTAATTTTTTTTTTTTTTTAAGTTTTTCTCTTCAATACACCAGGATGGGAGTTTGAACCGTTATTTTCTATATCCTATCTCACCCCTTTTATTATCTAAGTTAGTCTCAGGCAGCTTTTTTAAGTTCATGTCTATTAAAAGATTCACAGGCATGCAAATAAAAATAATTCATGCTTGCATAAAATTTCATTTAAATGCGAATAAATTAATTAAATATGCCTGAGAAGGACATCATGTAGTATTGTAGCATGTGATATGTGACTAGAGATGATTGAACCCATATACCAATCAATATTTGGTTGGGAACAGGATCGCATGGATAAAAACAAATGCCAATAAGAAATTTTTTGGGCTGTAGGACATACGGGCCTGAGAAATAAAGCCCAAAGTAGAGTCCATTTGAAAAAATGCCGATCCAACCCTCTTTGATTAACCCTCCCTGCACTAAGGAAGCTTTTACCCTGCACCTCACACCTCGCCTCCGGCGACTCTATTGGAACTGCCAGTGCAGCAGCAGCCACCCAGTAGGGCTTTGTCACTCCTAGTCCAAGGTAACTTGCCCCTAATATTATTTTCTGAACGTGTTTTTCTTCATCACTGAGTTAGTTCTTCCTCTCGCTCCCTTTCTCTGCCGACTCTGGTTTTCCTTTAAATCCTAACATGGTTGGCGTGTTCTTTATCAGTTCATTCGGGAACAGTGGTAAAATTTTTCCATCGTCTAGCCTGTAGAATTGGATCATGCGTGATAATTTCAGGCTTAGACACGTCTACACTCTACAGTATGAAATAAATAAAAAAATATATATATAAAAATAAGATGATTATGAAATAAGTCAGCATATTTATGAAAATACAAGCTCAGACACATTTACGGCCTTAGACCTATTTTTATCAAAGTCCTTCTTTCAGAAAAAATAATAGGGAGAATGGCAGTTAGGTCAGAGAAAAAATTAACGGTGAGTCTCACAATAGCTGAAAATTTATCCATCCGCAAGTTAACTTTCACTTATTTCATAGAGGGTAAAGATATAAATTTAGTTACAAACTATTTTTCGAAGAGTACTTGTAGCTTAAATTATCAAATGTTGCAAAATAAATCACGAACTTTAAAAAACGAAACATCCAATAGCCTGCCGTAACTTAAGCTAACGAATGTTATGTGGGGCCCATAATGACACGTGGCATGACATGAGCGAAACATGTTAACATGATAAAGAGACAAATTTAACTATAAACTATTTTTCGAAGAGCGCTAGATAGTATCTATTATAAAAAAGTGAATCATCCAACCCCTTATCTTCAATTTTAATCAAATATCATTTATTTTAATACTTATGAGGCTCACAAGGCATTAATCTCTCCATCCTTTTGCCTTCGTTTTCAATCTCAACTCGAGAAGAAGAGGTTTAAAAAATTTTTATTTGAAGATATTCATGAAAATGATGTTAACAAAATAGAAAAAATAATTTATGATTAAATTAAGCTAGAATCAAGCTTTTCTCATGCATAGTAAGATCAAGCTTATACTTTATTGATATCATCTTTGTGAATGTTTTCAGATAAAAATTCATTGAACCTCTTTTTCTGGAGCTTATATTGAGAACGAAGGTAAGAAGATTGAAAAGATTGATACTTTATGGGCCTCATAAATGTGAAAATAAATTATGTTTGGTCAAAATTGAGGAGAAGGTGTTAGATGATCCAATTTTTTTTATAATAAAGGCTATCCAGCGCTCTTAAAAAAATAGTTCGTAGCTAAATTTGCACCTTTATCATGCTGACGTGTCGCGCCCGCGTCGTGTCATATGTCATGTGGGTCCCACATAATGTCCGTCACTTAAGTTAACAATAAGCTACTGGATGCTCTGTTTTTGAAAGTTCGTGATATATTTTGTACCATCTGATAATTTAGGCTACCAGATGCTCTTCAAAAAATAATTTATGACCATATTTACTACTTTATCCTTTCATAAATGAACTTTCGGTCGTTGCTTTTTTTCCTCATCTTCAATAACACTCGCTCAAAATAATATTAAAATTTATAACCATGTGATATATTTCATTATATTTTTATTTTGCATTGTTTTTTCACATTTAAGTCCAACTCCCGTAATGTAGTTGGAATTAGATAGTTTGCGTCCGTTACACGAGTTGAAATTGAGCAATTTAAAACTAATATCATTAATATAATTGACATCAATATATTTAAAATGGTTAAATTTTTTAAAGTTTTTATATTCAATCATTTTTCTTTTTGAATATTTTATTTGTACATATCTTATTTTTGACTAAATTTAAAATTTATTGCCAATATTTTAAATTATTAAACATTTTTAATCTTTATAAATATTATAAATGTAAATAATAAAAGGTCATAAGGAAGAAAATAATTTGTGCCTAAAATGTATAAGAAAGTACACTCTTACTTCACACATGCACACAGGGAATTATTTTCATCTCGCTTCTTCAATGTGAAAAAATGAAAAGTTGTCGCTTTATCTTGTCAACACATTATGTATGTTGAAATATGCACAGTTTAAAGGATTGATGATCCCATCAAACTTAAACTTCTTTTTACTTCTTTTTTTTCTTATGCAGATAATATTTATGGATAATAGTTGATGAGAGTTAATTGATATTGACCACAACGAATCAACAAAATATATGAAAAATGGAAAAAAAAATTAAATGTCATTGATTAGGAAAATTGAAAAAGCATGAAAAAGTATAATGAATGCAGAAGAATAGCTTGATGGAATTAATACTAACAATCAGAAAAAGTTAAAAATGAGACTGCTCTTGAATCAATGTTCTCGTGAAAGTAGATTAAAAATACATGAAAAATAAAAAAATAAATTAAATCTCATTGATCAGGAAAATTGAAAAGGCATGAGAAAGTACAACGAATAGAGAAAGATAGTCGGATAGAGTTAATGTTAACAATAAGGGAAATTTAAAAATGAGACCGCTCTTGAATCAATGCTCTTATGAAAGTAGACTGAAAATACATAAAAAGTAAAAAAAAATAAATTAAATTTCAATAATAAATCAAGAAAAATTTTTATATTAACATTAGCCTAAAATTTATTGACCAATGAGAGTCAATTTTTTTAACCAATTAGATTGAAACTATGAGATTTAAATTATTCAATATGTATGGATGAATTGGACATCCTCTCCCTGACATTGGCCGGAAAGAGGCTCGAAACTCCTCTACTATAGCCACCCAACTCTCTATCATCGGCAACAAACCCATTTAGGAGAATGGCTGATCATTTATCGATTAGGGTATATGAAATCGAAAGATGCAAAGATATTCCTGTATTGGAAACACACTCTCTAGCGAGACTTGAGAATATGGAAACAACATAGTCAATGCGCCTATAATAGATGATTTAAGAAAAATTTGAAATAGAATGTAATACTCTTGTCCTATGAAAAGATAAAAATCAATTAAAATAAATTAAATTCTGTCAATCAATGAGAAAAAATATTCAATTACATCAACCAATGAAATAATAATACTAATATTAGATTGAAATTAAATTGATTATGCAAAAATTAATGGATTAATGGGATAGGATAATTAACATTATACCTGTGTATGTTGACCAATGGGAGAGAGTAACCCAACATCCTCTCCCTGACATTGGCCGGAAAGAGACGTGAAACTCCTCCACCCTAGTTGCGCAGCTCTCCACTGTCAGCAACAAACCTATTTAGGAGAATGGATGATCATTCATCGATTAAGGCATATGAGACTGAAAGATGCAAAGGTAAATCTTGTATTGGGAATAGAAACTCTCTAACGAGACTTGAGAGCATGGAAACAATATGGTTAATGCTTCCATGAGACAACTTGGGAAAAATTTGAAATAGAATTTAATGCTCTCATCAAGTGAAAAGATAAAAATTAATTACAATAAATGAAAAATTAAATTAAATTTTGTCAACCAATGAAAAAAAATTCAATCACATCAATCAATGAAATAGTGATATTAATATTGAGATTTATGTGTATATATATATATATATATATATTGATTGATGATGATGATGATATGAAAAGCGTAAATAATGATTGAGCGTTTAAGTCCTTCATTATCTTCATAAGAATATATTTTTTTTAAAATGTTTCCATCGGTGTTTTAAATTTATAATTTGTAATCATCTAAACGTAAAATTAATACCAATTGATACTATCACACTGTTTACTTTCATCTTAAAATTTAATTTAATTCAACTTTGAATTCAATTTAAATTTTATTTAATATAGTTTAATAAATGCTAAGGTAAAGTATCATTTTTTTTCATTTTTCAATTATCATGTTTGTATAGTTGTAAAATAGCACATATTTAATATAACTATGTATCATATAAATGTTTGCAAAACAATAATGATAATTTTATTTATTATTTCATATATATTCTGAATCATTGCCCTCAATCTTATCTATTAATAATTGGAGATCGAGTAGAAGATTGGAGGCAATAGCTGCTACACGCTTACTTCTCCTATACAAAACTTTTCAACAAAATTTGATTGATATTAATGAAATCATATACTAAATTGTAAAATTATATACTTAGCATCTCTTTCCACGTGGCTTATTTATTCAGTAATCAATTTTATTACTCTTGTCCAAGTTACCATTTGAATGTGTCATTTAATTTGTTGAAAACATATGTAAGAAATCATAATTGAAAACGTAATGGGAGTGAATGTAAGTTCTAAAATTACTTTCAAGATAAATGAATTTTTAAATAAAATCTTGTTGAAAATTTTATTTGATATGGAATGCTTATTGTGACACACTATTTGATATGTTGAGAGAGAGAGAGAGAGAGAGAGAGAGAGAGAGTATTCTAAATTTCTAATTCTAACTTAATACTAAAAAATATCTTATATCATATATGTGATATATGATACAAAAGATCCAAGAATTCGCTGGTAAAAATAAAAAATAAAAAAATCAAGAAGATAATAAATTAATAACACTTTTTCATTTTGTTTCGGGGCTAAGGAAGGAAGGGCCAAGGAGTATAATTGTATTTTATTTAGCAAATAAAGAATATAATTTTACTATGTGCCCTGCTATAATATGATAATCCAAAAGTTTCCCTCCACAATTATTATTTTTTGTTTTTAAACTCTCAAACACCCCATACTTTGGGATAAGATTGGGAGAAGATTAACGCCTTTATAATTATATGTTAAATATATAATTATGATTATAGTTATATATTTTTAGATAAAAATAAAATATTATAATTATATATTACATATTATAATTATAATTTAACTCACATATACATTATTAGTATTTTTAAACTTCACATGCTTATTTTATTAATTATTTATGTGGAAAAAATTTATAAGGTAGTATTATAATTGTTCATATATAATTGTTTTCTCTCCTTTCATCTCGAACCACATAAAATAATATTTCTTTTATATTAAATTATAACATAATTAAAATAAAATTATACATATCAATAAAATATAAACACTTTACCAACTTATTTTTTAAATAAAATTATAAACTTTTAAAAATATCACACTATAATATCATTTTAATTATACATTTGGAGATAATATTAAAAAAATATCATTAATAAAATCTTAATTTTCTCAATTTTTTTATATTTTAAAATAACAATTTTTTTTAACATTATCTTATAATTTAAAATGAAAGAGTATTAAATATTAAAGTAAAATATATTAACCTCCCTTTCAATTTATCTTAATTATAAATACATACATTCTATTTTAAAATAAGTACAAACCTTTTTCAGAGTTAATAATTTCAAAACACAACCCTCTTTTTGTTTTTAAAAATTTATTTTCATCCACTCAATTGTTAAATTATATTTATGATACCTAAATTCCTTTTGAAATATTATTTAAAAATCATTTAAAATATCAAAAAAAATTAATGTATATGTTTTTAAAATTTTAGTCATATTTTAAACTTTTTAATTAATTTTATAAAGTTTTAATTAGGAACTTTTAAGAAATATAAGTATAAAAGTGTTTTAAAATAATATTTTAAATGTATATAAAAAACAAAATGAAATAATAGTGTAATGTGTAATGTAAAATAAATTGATCGATATAATTTATATTTATTTTTTATAATTTATTTAATTTAAACACAATATTTTAAATTATTTATTTAACCATTTTAATAATTATTTTAAGTTTTTCAAATTGAGGAGGAGGGAATACAAAGTTAGATGGTAAGGACAAATTAATAATTTAAAAATTTTAACATAATTAAAAGTAAAAAAAAGTATCTTATAATATTTAATAAACGATGTTAGAAAGGGAATTAAAGTATAAGTTTTAAAAAAATTTTTTTTGTAATTTTATCAAAATAAAGTGGACTTCATTGTAATTGACTCTAAATGTTAAAATCTCCCCAGATCAAACACTGTGCTGGGGTATAAATTGTTAATTAATAAAATAAATTTTATTATTTGGGAGTTGTGACCTACGGTATCCTACCATTTTTCTGCGTCGGCGAACACACATTCCCTGCTTGGTTGAGCTCACCGTCGGACGCTGTCCGCCGTTGTCAGACCTGCCGGGTTGTTCTCGAGCAAGTAGTGAAAGGTTCGAACCCGAGGGCTTTACCTACCCCCAAAATCCGGGGAGATTGATTTGTTAAATCTGGCTTTCAGTCTAGATTTGAATTTATTGCCCGCGTCATCTGTTCCTTGCGTTGTTGTCAACCCTGTGTCGGATGCTGTCGCACTGTTTCTTGCTTTGTTTTAATTTTTTTCATTTAAATTTGGCTTTGAATCTGGTAGTGTAATCGTGTGAAACTGTGAATACTGACGCTTTTGAATAAAGATTGAGTTTACCTGAAAAACGCTTCTATTATTATTTACTAGCATCTGCTTCAGGATCTGCTTAATATTTTCAACATGTCTTGGATGGAGGTTGTTTTGGCGGCATCTTCTGTTGATGCTGGTATTGGCTGCTGGGACCTTCAGTCAGGGGCTGAGCAGCTGCGCTATAAAACTTGTGCTTCTGCACCTCATGGTCTCATTAATGTCGGCAGTCGCTTCCTTGCATCTTCCCAGATTCGAGATTCCTCAGCCACCTCTGGTCTGGTTCTCTATTGGTCCTGGTCCAAGGTCTTTCTTCATTGCTTTTCATTTATTTCAAGTTGTTAGAAACTTTGCCTCTCTTTTATAATAAGCTGATTTTTACCTATGTATTTGTTTAAATGGATAATAATGATTAGCATCTCTTTGCATATGGCTCTACAGCCTCAAGTAGAAGCCAAGAGCTTTCCGGCTGAGCCAATCAGGCCACTTGCTGCTAATCACCCGGGTACTTATATAGCTGGTGGTGGCTTATCAGGTGACATATACTTTTGGGAGGTATAGTAACTATTTGATGAGACATTATATGGCAAAAGTCTTCTGACGTTTGATTGGGAAGATATGAATTAAAAACGAAAACTTATTTTCTGTTGCTTTTTTACTTTACTGACATTGTGTTTTGTTTTTCAGGTTGAAACTGGCAAATTGCTTAAGAAGTGGCATGCTCATTATAGGGCTTTAACTTGCCTAGTATTTTCTGAGGATGACTCACTGCTGATATCTGGTTCAGAAGATGGATGCATACGAGTTTGGTCCTTGTTCATGTACTTGATTCTCATCTTTCCCCTTCCCCTTCCCCTTCTCCATTTTTTCATTTTTAGGAGTAATGTTGTCACATATATCCCTCTCTTAATTTGATGATTCAGGATATTTGATGACTTCAAAAGGCAGGAAGCAGGTCATCATTATGAGCATAGTTTTTCAGAGCACACCTTACCAGTAACTGACATTGTAATTGGTTATGGAGCATGCAATGCAATTATAATTTCTGCTGCAGAGGATAGGACCTGCAAGGTTTGGTTTGCATTTCTTTTGGGTTATGGGGGTCTTTTCTTTACTATCATGTTAATTGAGTACTAAGATGCATCGAACTAGGAAAAGTGTGTTTTTTGCAGCTTGAATGACCAAGATCCTCTTCTTTTAAAAATCTTATTTTGTATTTCTTGAAGTTTTACATGCTCAGGAGTTATAATTCATAATATTCATATGCCAAAGCGGGAAACGGTTAATAAGGTCATTTGTTCTGAAAGCTCACGAAATAATCCTTTGCTGTCTGTCAAATTAAAGGTAATGACTGATGATGGTCAATTTATTACTCATTGAAAATGAAAGGCGTCTATTAATAAATACTAAGGAAATGTTTGCCATAAATATAATGTTTTCTTGATAGTAGTAATGTGAATAAGCTTAACTGCACAACTAATTTTAAGATTTTTTTTTAAACAACAAAATATAGGTCTGTCCTAGGTTTTGCTATTTTGTTTTTCCCTTTCAGGTGGGGTTGGTGTTTAATATTGTTGAAAGAGTTACCTGGTGTAGACTACACTTTGAATGGACTCTAATTTTGTGTTATATTTTTGTTCATTATTCCCTATATTTAACAAATTTGACATTGGTACTATTTGTATGTAAATGGTATGGTTATTTCTTACAATCTATATTATTTTTTGCTTTCTTTGTTGTTTGGTGTGTTCTTGCATTAATTGGCTGACTTCTTGGCATCTGTATTTTTCTCTTAAATATGGTTTTCTAATATAGCACTGCTGTCAATTTTGACTCTTGTCATAATATTTTTTTTAAAGGTTTGGAGCTTATCTAGAGGAACACTATTGAGAAATATAGTATTCCCTTCAATAATTGATGCAATTGCATTGGATCCTGCTGAACATGTCTTTTATGCCGGCAGTAGAGATGGAAAAATATTTATTGCCGGTCTTAACACTGAAAGGATCTTTAGTCAGAATCATGACATGCATATCATCGGTTCATTCTCTAATCACAGGTTATTTCTACTATTTCTACTCTACATGTTATGAAACATGGGCCTCTATTGGCTGTTTATTAGTGTTTTCCCCTTCATGCTCTCAATCATTCAAGTTTACCTTAGTTTTGGGCTTTTGGCAGTTCATGCTCTCTTCAAGTTTACCTAATTCGCGCACATCTTTCATGGTTGGGTTGAAATTTAGATTTTTCCTTAGGTTGGTCATTAAAGTCCTATGAGGAAGGAGCACCTTCTTTAAGCCAATATGCCAGTTTAGTTTCCACAGTGATGCACTCTTCTCCATTGAAAACATTGTATATGGGCTTCTGACGGTGGATTTTTGGTTTTACTTTTTCACCAGCGGACCACATATATGCTGTTGTTCAACACGAGTGGCTTGCCTTAGAAATATAGAAAAAGAAAACCCAATAATCTTAATGATGATCCCCCTTTGAAAATGTTAGAAATGTTAACAAATCTAGTCTTGCTCCTTAACTTGAAAGTTTAAGTTTTTTTCATTCAAATAATTAATTAACATGGTATCATAGCCTTCATAATCTTTGAAATTAGAAGTTTGATCTTTGCTGTTCCGGTTATCATTGCTTTGACATTTCTGTCGAGATATCGGGATGGCTGATTTGAATTTTCTGTGCAAATTTTGGTCTTTGCTTTGTCCTTGAGCCCAAAGGCTTATGCGTGATGTATTACACACAAATATAATCATTCCTGGATCAGATAAGTTAACTTGCCTTTCCCCCTTCCCTCAACAGCAAAGCAGTTACTTGCTTAACATATAGTGCAAGTGAGAATTTGTTAATCTCTGGATCAGAAGATGGAACGATTCGGGTTTGGAATGCTAGAACTCATAATATTGTCCGCACGTTCAAACATGCAAAAGGTTCTATCCTGACTCTTTCAGATTTATGTTCGATACATGTTACTTGTGATATGATATTTTCTGTTGTCTATTATTATAAACTGTTATATACAGATTAAGCTCATGACTCTATCAATGTTCAATGTTCATCCTATCACTTTCTGTAGTAGAACTTAATGATAACTCTAAGGCCCTGTTTGGTATGAGTCATTGAATTTTAAGGGATTGGGATTGGACATGGGATTGGGAGTGGGAATAACTTTTAAAATCATGTTTGGTGTGGGATGGGATTTTAAAAAAAAAAAAGTGACAGCCACATGACTCAAAAAATGGGGTAAAAGACACAAAACTCCTCATCTTCTCCCTGGAGGTACTCCCCAATGGTCACCCAAAAAAAATAAATCAGATCCCTCCTCTTCTCGATTCAGATCTGGCACCGACAGTAACCTGTAATGGGAAAGACAAGCTCGGCAAGTTGAAGATTTAAGCGGCCAACACAATCTCTGGAGAAGTGCTATGCCTCTAGGAAAGGGATGATGGCAAGAGGCACAAATCAGTCTTGAGCAAAGTTGCAGACATAGCCACCATCCTTACATTTCTGAGAGAAGTTGCAGACATAGCCACCGTCTAACAAAAGAAAGAATAAGCTTCAAAAAGCATTCCAAAAAGAGAAGCAAGAAGCTAGTGTACTCTTCCAGAATTAAAATCCCATCTTGGACATCGGAGGAGGAGAGGCCAGCAGCTGGTGTCAGCATCGCTAGGGTCATCTATCATGAAGCTTGAGTGAGAGTGAGACCAAAGAATGGGGTGGAGGGCGGTGGAGAGAAACAAGAGAGTGGGAGGGCATTTTGGTCTGAAAGTAATCAATTCCAAGAATGATTTTCCAATAGGATGGGGGGTGGTATTGGGTCATCCCATGCAGGTGACACTGGTATTGGGATTGAATTTTCCATTACTTCATACCAAATTTAAAAACCTGGTACTAATCAATCACAATCCTAGTTCCACCTTTCCAATACTGTACCAAATAGGGCCTAAGTCTTAATATATCTAAAGCGAAAGAGTAAATATATGATATTTTGCACTTGCGTGAATCAGCTAATAGGCATGGCACCAAATTGCTCTGCCGATCTTAGTTGGATTAACACCATTTATGTTATAGAGCTAGATCCTATCTATATATGCGCAATTGCAAAAGCAAAATGCATACCATCTTTAATTTATTTTTTGACCAATGTGACATGGCCTTGTCCATCTTAATGTCATATTAATGTTAATCTGCTGGGAATTTTGTAGGACCTTTAAATAATATTCTTGTTGTAAGAAAACAGCTCGACTCAAGTAAGCCTATCTCTTCAACTCTACAATCATGCTCAAGGAGGCAGGGATCTCTATTACCTCCGCCATTGGAAAAATACTCAAATTCAATAAATGAAGATTCAGATGTTAAGACCATTGTTAGCCTCTACGACGGCAAGAGGGGTATGGATGTTTCATACATGTCTTCTCAAGCGATATTTAATCAAATCAAGGAGTTTCAGGTTTGTTGTGCGTAGGCGAATTACTAATAGATAGATATATTCTCATCATTGAGCAATAGAATCGTCATTTTGCAATGATGTTCTTAGTAAAATATCTGTTATCTAATATAACGACCTTTTAAACCAGAATCGGGGCTCCTCTGCTTCTGAAATGGAGATGGAGAGACTGAAAGCGGATTGCAGAAGGTCTGCCCAGATGGTTAACCGATTTAAGAAAATGTATGAAGATTTGCAAGATTTCTACGAAGAGGACTTCTTGAAAAGTGGTCAAACAAAAACTTGAGATGAAATTGGCAACCAAGTCGATCTTTGCTCTTATTTACTTTTTTCTTTTTGACCAACAATGCTCTTATTTACTCTTTGAAAGTAGAAATTGTAAGCCAACTAGCGAGTTATTATCGGCAATTTTGCTTCTTCTTGATAGTTGAGATGGACCATTAAAATGCTACATGTAAATGGTGAATTGTTGGATGTTTATAGGAACGGACAAAACTCATATACAGTCCCTCGTATCCTCATAATGTTTGAAATCACCTTGTGGGATGTGTAGCTATCTTACACATCCTCTCTGTTGTAAGTTGTAACAAACGTGTAAAAGTAAAATCTAAGGGGAAGAAAGGGACACGTGTGCATCACTTGGAAAATGATTCAACAATCCACATGGTATGGTTCTCCATCAATCCCTTGGCTTCAATCAGCAAGCCCCAGCCCCAAGAAGGTGACAGGTAGAGCATCAATCGTATAAACTTGTACCGACTTCAGTCATGCACGAGCAATAATGTTATGAAAGACTAAGAACAGAAAAAAGGATATTGGAGCCTTCCTCTGATTCTCGAATGCTAGAGTTTGGGATCATTAGCCTTCCTTTGATATGAAATGTATGCCCCACTAAAATTATTCATCTAATGCTGGTCATTCGTAGTTACTGTAGCAAAGTATTCTACATTCTACTTTCGAATATAATAATAGTAACAATGCGAATAAGATGTTTTAGTGTTTGAGAAATACAGATAAACAACTTATTCAGGTAAAAAAAATATTTATTTTTGTTTTAAAATTAAAGAAATTTAAGACTATTTTTTGGTTATCATAAGATTATACGTTGTGCTTTAATATTATACATTTTTTAATTAAAAATAGTCAGGTATTAATTGATACTGGTTAACAAGATTTTATTTTATTTTATTCTTTGGTATAGAAAAATAGAAGTAAAAGCGTCATAGATGTCATATAAAAAATCCGGTGTTGCTGTTTATCCTTATTCAGCTTTTATATGAATAATTGATCATTGATGGATTATATAGATAGTAGATTTTTTTTTTTTTCAGGAGTAGGCCTAGGTTTCAAATTAAATCCGCAAGAAAGTCATTAGTTATTCTATTAGGTGAATAAATATTAAGATAAAGTTCCGTTAATAGTAAGGAAAATTATGAAAGGGCAACACAAATTATTGGCATAGTTATTATTAATAAGTAACTTAACTAATTTTTGTAATTCTTATCAATTAGTTAAAATGATCTTATACAGAGCACCAGAAGAAATATATAGCATATGAGATACAATAAGTCGCGTTATTTACAAGTACGTACGCTGCGCTGCAAACAACATTATGTATTTAGCAACATAACTAGGATGTCAATTTCGAATGCTTAAATGCAAATCTTAAAATATCAGTCACAAGCAAGTTGTAAATTGTGGGTGTTTTATAAAGGATTAAAGGGCGAAAAATGCCCTGAAACTTGCTAACAGTGACTGATGTTTTAAACTTTTATTTGAAGTAATATTATTATAAAATTTTTGGAAATAGTACAATTCTGTCCTACGGTTAACATTGACTCACGTCTGATAGTTGAAAGCACATGCTTTGCGCATGTCCTCTTCTCCCTCACTCTGCATTGTTGATCTTCATCCTCCTCTCAAACTCTCTCGTCTCTCACTCCCTCTTCTGTCCTCTCCTCCCCCACCATTCTTCTCCTCCATTGGCGGCACCTGACAGTGACGACTGAAACTAAAACAAGTGATGGTAATAGTCGGGCCACCGTCGGCCTCTATTCGGCGTTTCGTTCCATGCATCGATTCTAAAGCTCTCTCAGCATCTTAAGCAACCTAGACAGCAAGCTTGCCTTTATCAGATACATTACACCCCACACGTCGACCTTCACTGTGTGCAATCCCCTCTCCATATCTGGTGCATTTCACCTCCGCCCCACCGGCCACCATGTAAGGGTAAAGTTACAGCACTCCCACCACCTCGTCGAACCCATACACGAACCACTCGTTCTCTTTGTCGCACCTCCTCATCACCTTTGTGCCAACCCAAGTCTCTATGCATGAACCCACACACGACACCAGGTTTGATCTTGCACCTTCTTAGTTTGATCTCACACCCTCTTGAGAGCCATCAAACTCGCGTTCATCGCTTTCATTTTATTCTAAGTCCCTCTCATCGTCACTGTGTCTAATGGCAACATCTTGAACACAGGCACCTTCATCTACCCCTTGTGGTTGTTGTGATGGTGACCACGAGCTGCAGAAGGCTCGACTGCTGTTGATTATGACTATCCTGTTTGGTCCATGATTCGTGTGTCGAGGGTGAGTGCTTGGCTCGCAGGCGAAACTATAACTTTATTTTCGCGAAGGAAATTGAGGAACAAGGGAAGGGACGGGTGTCTAGGAATGTGGAGATGGAGTAGAATGGTGTTGTGGAGAGAGGAGAGACAAGTTGCCAGCAGACAACACGTGTCTCCTATTAGTCAAATTTCAAAATGTTAACAGTCATTGTCATTTAAAGTCAAATATAGGGCAAAAAAGCATCATTTTTTAAAATTTTGAGATAAGATTGTTTTAAATAAAAGTTTAGGATATTAAGTATTTTTTTAAAAAAAGTTTTAAAACATTTTTAACCTTTAACCTTTTTATAAATCCCAAAAGTTAGCTCTAAATATCAAAATTTCAGTTAAAAATTTGGAGGTTTAGTTGTGGGAATTGTCTAGAATTCACAGCTAATCTTTTAAGTTGTTTAACATGAGCTTCTAAGATTAACACTTGAGCTTCTGGATTTACATAATTTACAACTTATTTGCAACTACTTTTTAAAAAAATATGTGAATAAAATTTTGAGATTTGCAATTGAGTTACACGCAAAGCTATATTTTTCCCATTTAAATCTTCATCTTTCTCTATCATTTTACGACTTCATTGTCTTTTCCCTCCTTCCTTTTGTGTGTCCTTACCTCTTCAATTGGAATGAAGGGAAATTAGGGAGTTAAAAAAAAATTAGGGAGAATTTTAATTAAGGATCATCAAAAAGATTTAATTTCATGGGGGTCTAAAAAAATTTAAAATTTTAATTTAGTTCAGGGGAGAAAAGTCTAAAAAATCATTAGTTAATAATTTTTTATTGTACTTCTTAATTTATCAATATCATTTGTAAATTACATCGGTTTGTCAGACAATCAATAACATTAGCTATTAATTTACTAACATCAGTTGTATATTACAATATTTGTCAATAATTTACAATTGATGTTAATAAAGTATAAGACTTGTCAGTAATTTACAACTAACATTAAGAAATTAACAAGTAAAGTTAGCAATTTAATAATTGATGTTACTGTTTATAATTGACCAAATGATGTCAAGTCTTATATAATTATTGACATATCAACTTATATGATTTACAACTCATATTCGTAATTAACAAGTATATATAACAAGTTAAGGTTATTTTAGCCTTTTTATAATCAAAATTCTTTTAAATTTTTTTTTGAATTGAACTAAAATTGTAAAAATTTTTTATGCTTATCTAAAATTAAATCTCTATAACAACCTTTAACTAAAATTTTTTCAAAAAAATATGCCTGATTTGCTGTGTTGAATTAGGATTATAGAAACAAAAGTAAAATCAAAAATAAAAATCAAACTTGACGAATAGCCCGTTTAAATTTATTTTTATAAAAATTTAAGTTTGTAAAATGATTTTCTTTTCAAAGTCGAGCTTTGAAACTCAGTTTTTATAGACTTCGAAAAGGAGCTCAAAATCGACAGTCATTTGTGTCATAATTTCTATTTTAAAAAAGAACATGAAATAATATAATTGAAAATTTAAATTAAAAAAAAAAATCCTAGGATAAGCCCGGACACCGTTTTTCTTGTTTTTTAAATTTTTTGGGAGACGGATTCACGCACGTTTAACATGAGAACATGAAGAATCATGGGTTGGCTAGCCCGTTTAAATTATCCTTTGCAGAGAACGGGCAGCGGTACAGGGATCCACAAACTTATCAAAAGGAAAATAATATATATATATATATATCTTGTTTGCCAGAAAAACCATTGACGTGACAACAAAATGACGTGTAATTACGAAAGTACAAACCTTAGCATTATAAATTTATAATTACTCTCGCTATGATAAAACTTTTTTTTTAATATCATATTTAAAAATATACGGCATTTTTATTTTCAAAGGTATAGTCATTAATAAATTTTTAAAAATAATTTTGAGTAAAGGTTACAATTAATAAACATTTTTAAGTAAATATAAATTAGTTAAAAATAATTTAAAATATTAAATAGAAGGAATACTAATTCGTGTGGTGGAGAAAAGACAAGAATCGTCAGTGAAATGTTAACGTTTGATAGAACTTGTGGTGCGGCTTCAATCCCACCCACGTGGTCTTGTTCCAAAAATATGTGGCCTAAATTCCGCCCTTCCCGTCAACGCTACAAACAAAACACCAACCTCAAATATGTCCGCGTTCAAAAAATACATGCGCTTTTAATCTCCATTTATCCGTTTGTGTGTGTGTGTTTGTGTGTGTGTGTGTGTCATATTTAACCATACACATATGTGAAAAAAATAAAATAAAATGAAGGGAAATGAAGAATATGGAACACGTGAAGCTAGTTTATAAATAGAAGATGCCCTCTTCTAATTAAAATCATCTTCCATCAAGCATCAATCAACAATCAACACGCAAATAATCACCAAACCCAAGCGTCTTCTATTTTTTCCAAGCTTTACGTATTCATCTAATAATAATAATAATAATAATAATAAAAAGAAATAATCACATTAATCACATGAATGACGGTGATGGAGACGAGGCAAGGGGGAGCCACGTGCACTAGTGACACAATGACAAATGTGTAATCAATATTTTTAGAATCGAAGCACATATTAAATTGAGAAGGTAAGTGATTGACAATTCACATAATTCAATCAAGATAGATCAATAGCCAATCGATGACACAATAATTAAATTTAAAAATTATATATATGACTAATAATCTAAATGTAAGAAATAAATATGAAATTGATACTTAATTTAAAAATAAAATTAAATGTTTTAAGTTTGTTATGACTTAACAAGCCACATGATACAACATAATATTAAATGATTAAGAAAAGGTCATTTTTTAAATTAAATTGATAAAAAATTGATTTTTTTTAACAATCCTATTTTTGAAAATCAGATAGTCCAAGATAGTTCAACTTGA